ACCGTCTTTGTTTCCCATAAATAAAGAATGTGGCATAAAATTAAGCCACATGTTATTCCAAAATGTTTTATAGTAGAGTTTTTTTCAAACTGTGTGTGCTGACATTGAACATTCAAAATAAGGTAATGACCTGCCTGTCTGGCAGCGTGCCGAGCGGGCGGATTTTGTATTCTAGTTCAGAACATTTTTCTGTTTGCCGTCCAGCATTAAAGCTGTACTTAAGTTCAGAATTTTGTTTCCGTGAGTCTGCATTTTCTTAACTTTTCCTGCCTGGACATGACAGTATAACCCTTTCACAGGGAGTTCTTCAAAATGAGGCGTACTGCGATCAACAAGACTGACTGGGTGGATGTCAAGTTAAAAGGAGGAGTTTTGAAACACCCAGTACAGAAGGACACAAATAGCTGCGGTGTGATTGTCATCTTGGTAAAGTAACGAAGACATGAGTTTCAAATAATTTTTGTGCTGATGGTGCATTATAAAATTGTGTCTGCTATAGAAAAGGAATATGACTAAATAATTTTTTAATATTTTGCTATTTACATAGATGGCAAAGGCGTTCATGGAGTCATTTCCCAACATACCAGAAATGACATTTAAAACAACAATTAAAGCAATGGCACAGCAGCGTGAAGCCATTGCTTTAAATATACTGGGAGCCTCAGGTTTGTGAAGTGTTACAGCACAAAGAAATGACTTGATTTAAATATTCATCGTCAATAACAAATTTTACTATGTTTGTACTAGTGTTCGAGGCAGAAAACAATTGCGCCATGTGCTCAACTCCAAAACCACCTTTTCCAGGGCCTTCAATCACCAAATGGGTAAGACGGATTTGTAATTGGGGATATGATTTAACAAAATCTATTGTGTAAAGTTGCTTTTGTTATTTGGTTCTTGTTTTGAGGAAGAGGGGAAATATAGCCTTAACTTGCATGTAATGTTTTTTGGCTTGGTGTGTTAGTTATTTTGAATATTTGATAAGGAAAAAAATATGCACTACATACTAATGGCAGATTAATAAAGATATTCATGTTAAACCACGTGATTAAAGATTTTCTTTATTTTTGGTTTGTTGAAATTCACAGATCCAGTGTGACAGCTGTTCAAGGTGGTTTCACACACAGCGCCTGCAGATGAATACTGAGCTGTTTCAGACGGCAGAGGCTGCAGAATGGGAGTGCGCTCTCTGTGAAAAAGAAATACTTGTATTTATTTTGTAAAATCTATATACGGTTGAATAATGTCATGTAAATTCTTATTTGTATTGATAGAAACTAAGGAACAGATGTAAATTGTTTTTATACATTTTGTATGTGTACATTTACAGGTTATGTATTTCACAAATGTAAATAGAGCTTGTTGATGTCTCTTTTCATTTTTATTGAAAATGCACTATTGACTATGTCGGCTTTGGTACAACCTTGTTGATTTGATTGATTCGAACATGTATGTATAACTTTTTCTGTATATTAGTTTTGCATTTGTACTCCTATTCCCTGCGCAAGTTGTCGTCACTCCTTGTTCGATCCTCGTTCCTACTCGTCATCGCCGTTAAGTAGGATGGAGCTTTAAGACGTTTTCTCACGTGTCTGACCCTTAATTTTTATATGCTGGTGCACTGTTAGTCTGTATATCTGTGCAGTACATTGCAGTGGAGTTAGATCAGGATTATAGTATTTAACCGTTTCTTTATGTTCAGTTTCCCATCGCACAGAAGGGTCCTAGTCATCAAGTTTGTTGCCTGGTCAGTCTGCTTTAATGACATATCCGTGAGTAAGTAACATATGTCTAATCGCTAATCTTACACATTTTACAATGATGAAATAGAGACTATTTGTGTGATATATGAGTTCTGAATATTGTCTATGTGTGGCCTCATCAGGATGATATTATGAACTTTAACAATTATGTTTGCTGTATTAGACTGATCAGGTTCTGAATTTCGAGGTAAGATCGGTGAAACTGGACACGTAGTAGTGCAGAAATGTGCAAGTGACCCAACTCAGGATGATATGCTTTATGCATCTTGTAGTGATACGATTACTAAAGTTCGACGTTGGTCAGGTCAATCGGACGAAAGGCGACGAAAGATGGACGGAATTACGCAGACGGCTGCTGATGTCAAAATGATCACTGGGTGTTTGGTGTTTGAAGAGGAAAATGTCACCAGCGAAAATTAGTGGAATGTGACGTTTAGTGTGATGTTCTAGTTGTTGTGACTTCGCTGTGTTCGTGTTGTGTGCATAGGTGATCGAGCACTTGTCCTAGTAGAACCGGTGTGCTGTGTTGACTGAGTTTCTTTGACAAACTTGTTTTTACTGGCACACATCATTTGTGGAGCATCTTATTGCAACACCTGATTGTTCTCTCATTTTAGTTTTAGTAATGTTTTTAAATGGTTGTAGAAAATGAAAAAACAGCAGGTGTATTGGCTGCATTTGTAGATAAATAGTTGTTTATGTTTACAAAATGTACGATTTATATTTGCATTTCAAGTTATAAACATTTACCCAACATGTCTGTGTTTTTTTACAGTAAAAATACTACTAGGATTTTAGGTTCTTTGTGTGATTTCAGATCAGTAATAGTTATATTAATAGTAACACTAATGCAGTATGTCAGTGAAAAACAACTAAATTCAGTTGAGCTGAAAAGATACCAAACAAGGCAACGGGGAAACTTAAGTTAGACTTGTGCTTGTAAATGAAGCGCCCCATGTTGTGTAGCTTTATACTTATTGGGCTACATATTTATTTATTATACAGGCTATAACGTACATAACATCTGTGGTGGCAGATTTCTTTCTCATGTATTAATCACATACTTAATCACATCACATTAGTTATAGTAATATCACTTTCTCACTGTACCATAGTAAGAGCACTCCTGTCACTAGTTTACATGCATGTGGAAAGTTACCACAGTGAGGCCGTTGTAATGGGAGACGTTAAACAGATAGTGAGACTCCTTCTGCTTATCAGGGATGTAACTCTTTAGGTGACGGCCAAGCAGAAAACAAGGTCATAATTCTCTCTGTGAGGGAGGAGCTATAGCCCCCCTGAGAGGGGCAACATGTGAGAGTCTGTGGATGTTCTTTGTGTGTCTGTATATAAGATGTAAGGGCGGTGCCACAGAGATGGTCCTGGTGTTTCACTGGGATGCTCTCTCCACATTGCAATGTGTTTATTAAACCCACTTCAAATCAAGCTCACTGGGTGTGTTGCAGGTTATTGTTAAATTTTCCACGACACATCAAAACTCACATGTTTTATGTAACTAAAGTGTGTAATCATGTGGGCTACAGACAATAATTAAGTTATAGACTATATTTATATGAAAAACGTGCATACTTACTGCATTTGAATCATTTTAGCCATATGTAACCACCTGCATATGTGTTTGGGGGAAAAAGGCTTTGATTTTGCCACCCATAAGAAAATTTCTCTAGATCCGCCCCTGACCCGAAGCGGCCGCTGGTCCGAGTGTCAGGTGAACTGAACTTCAGGTAAGAAGTTATGACCTGCAGTCCATCTGGGTCAGATATGAACCAAGTTTAGGTGGAGTTTGTTTTCCTTGTGCTGACTTTTTACAGTCAGTTACAATAACTCGTACTGCGTGGGAGGAAGTTGTGCCAGATGGTATCTTTGCTAGATGGCAGCTGTCGAGCTAGCGTTTGAAGAGAGAGTCTCCTTTCTCTATTTACTGTGGAGAGCAGAGCAGCGGCGTAAAGGACGTCCTCGCCGTACCCGCGTTTTGTCTTCATCTGGCTGCCACTTTCGTGCGCCTTTTCCCTCGCGGTGCAGGTGTCTATTTCCGAATGAAGCTCATAGTTATGGGTGTTTTTGTGCTGTTTTTTCTATTGGACGTGATGGTTATCAAAACCAAACGTGATAAATTTGGCAAGCGCAGGAGACACGACACGGAGGAGATTTGTCAATCAGGCTGCAGAATGCAATGCTGCACTGTGCAATAAAAACTCAGCGAAAAAGCGAAGCAGTGACGGATGAAAAGCGGGACCACTGTGTGCTGTTTATTAAGGCTGTTTTAAACGGCCACAAAGGAGCAGATTGGTTATAATGCAGCTGCTTCAGAGGAACAAACACTGTTTTTATTTCATGTGTAACACCTTTCAATGATGTGTTGACTAAAGTCTATTGACCAGTATAAGTAAAGACATCACACACACACATGGAAACACTGAAACCTGTTTGTGGTGCAGCAGCGGTCCCAGCTGCTGGCCTTTATCTAGACTGGGTCGGCTGCTGATCTCAATATAATCAATGTTTAAAGTTCTCAGTGTTTCTGTGTTGCTGCGTATAGGATCTCCCAGCATCATCACTGTGCTGTCCAATCATTGTGTGCGAGGTTACCCTTATAGTGCGATGTGTGTTTGCACAAAGAGAAGCATGTGTGTCAAATATAAATAAGCACAGAACAGAAACAGCTGCTCGTTTCTTCTGTTTAGAGTCAAGTTAGTGTTTTGTGTCTTTGTTTGAGGCCTGATGTCGAGCAGAGGTGTGTGTAACTGCACTGGTCTGTTATATGTGTGAAGTGTGTGCTTCTCTTCAGCATCATCTTTGTCACTGCTGATTCCTTTGTGTCATCATGTGTTGAGAAGAGAGAACAGTTATAACGGAGGAGCAAAAGGAAGCCCTGAAATCTGCATCAACAAGGAAGTGTTGGCTCACCAGTGATCCCAGCAGAGCCACTGGTTTGGCTCCAGTTGTTCTAGATTCAATGATGTTGTTGCTACAGATACATGTCAGCATCTTTATTGTAGTAAAGTCTTGTAATGTGAAGATAGAAACAAGGCAGCAAACAGCTCCATGATCTGATCTTAATGATGTTGTTTTTATTCCTGTCTGTCAGAACTGGATTGGAAACTATCAAAGGTCTAAAAACAGCCTCGACCCTCCCACAGAGCAAACTTTACACACCTCATCTTTCAGCTACAATCTTTGTTGCAGGGATCTTCTGCCAAACAAGGCTGAGAGAAGATTTCTTACAGCTGTCATGTTGATGCTGTTTCAGTCTTTGGGCAAACACACTCATATATTAGGGCTGATATCAGGCTGCACAAGTTCTTTGTGTTTGTGATTGTTAGCGCCATTTATAGTTATTACATGTTTTATTTTGAAAGACCTGAAAAGGATATGGTGCTTTTGTTGTGAAAGGTTTGTAAAAAATAAAGCAAGCGAATGGCGGAGCGACACGATGGTTTTACCGTCGTTGCACAAACCGACGCGTAAAACAGCCTCTTGTCCATCCAGACTCTTATTTTAGATATAAGAAAATTAGAGAACTCCAAGAAGAAACAAAGATAGCCATTACATTAAGTAAAACCATCATGCTCCCGAGCAAGACGACTGCATCGCTATGAGATCGTGCAAAGTTTGATACAGCAAGTCAGTTAAGTGCACAGAGCTGTATGCATGAAGAATCTAAGAAAAGAAGAAATAAACTTTCATGGATAAAGTTTTGGACTATGATATGCTGCTAAGCTACAAGTCGTGTTAAAACTGAACAATTGCGATTCTCAACTTCTCACAAATAAGTCAGTGACAGTGTTTTTGGTCTTAAGAAGATGACACTAACTACGAAAGCCTCAGCTTTGTGTCATAGACCATTTTGTTTCATGAACACTTGTTGAATAAGAAGTTGTGTAAAAGGAGCAGAGATGGCAGATAAAGACCCGCAAGGTTGCAGGCCCAGGGCGCAGAGCTGCAGTAGCGGGACTGGCCATAAGAGGGCGCAGAAGTACACCGAAAGAGGTTTGGAAGAACAGCTCGGCAGGCACATAAACGCAAGAAGGTCCAAGCTGTCACAATTAACTTCAAAAATGAATAAAATTAGCGGACTGATGAAAGAGAATGAAAGCCTTGACATTGTTGATGAACGTTTAAGCAACTTTTCAAAGCTGCATGAAGAATTCTTACAGGCAAATGATGATGTACTGTCACTGTTGCCAGAAGATGAAAGGAATGTGGACCAGATGCTCTGGTTCAATCCAAAAAAGGAGCAGTTCAGTGCGTTTATGACCGAAGTTGAGAAATGGATCATCGTAACAAGACATCAGCATCAAGACGACGTGAGCCCAGATGACAGCGTGTCAGTGACTGCTAGACCAACTGCAAAGAAATCAGGTACCAGCGTTGGAAGAAGCTCAGTCAGTAGCCGCTCATCAAGATCGTCCAGAGCTTCTTTGGTATCATCTGTACGGCAGAAAGAAGAAGCAGAGCGCGCTGCTCTGCTCGCACGAGCCGCATCCTTGAAACAGAGACAAGCCTTGGACATTGAAGAATGTAAGTTAAAAGCAAGAAGAGAACAGCTTGAGATCGAGACAGCTATTGCTGCTTCTACAGCCAAAATAAAAGTGTTAGAGGACTGTGAATATGACAGCTGTAAAAATGATGTGGAACAGTGTGAATCGGCTGTTAAGCACTTCAGCTTCCAAGAGCCAAAGGTACAAGGTGAACATGATGGGCATTCAAAGGTAAACAGTCACAGTGTAAAACAAGAAGATGACTTGCACCAAACTGATGCCAGGGTTATTCCAATGAATCTATGTGAAGTCATGTTGAAACAAAATGATATCACTGAGATGTTAGTCAAACAACATAGACTGTCACATTTGCCTCAAAGAGACATTCCCATTTTTAGTGGTGATCCACTTGAGTTCATACCATTTACAAGAGCCTTTGACCATACAATTCATGATAAAACTGACAGTGACAGTGACAGGTTATATTACCTTGAACAGTTCACCAGAGGTGAGCCCAGAGATTTGGTAAGAAGTTGTCAGCACATGAATCCTCAACAAGGCTACAGTGAGGCAAGGAAGTTGCTGTTTTGTCATTATGGTAATGAACTGAGAATTGCAACTGCCTACATGAACAGAGCATTCAATTGGCCACAAATCAAAACAGATGATGCAAAGGCTCTTCATAGCTATTCACTGTTTCTCACTGGTTGTAACAATGCAATGCAAGACATCAGTCAACTGCAAGAGATGGAGATCCCCACGAACCTCAGAGTTATTGTCTCTAAACTGCCATACAAAATGAGAGAAATGTGGAGAGTCTCTGCCTTTGACATTCAAGAAACAAGTGGAAGGAGAGCAAAGTTCTCAGATCTGGTTAGATTCATAAACAGACAAGCAAAAATAGCTGCAGATCCTTTGTATGGTGACATTAAGGATGCTGAAGACAAAGCAAAGTCATCTGCAAATGTGAGAATGACTAGATCATCCAGGCAAAGGGGAAGC